TGGACTTCAGTGGGCTGACCTCTGCCTGCTCAGATCTCCTGCAGGACTCCCTAGTGAACCCTTCTGTTCAGTGGTCATGCTTTCCGTCTCCAGCCCAGGGTGTCTCTGGAGTTCTTTGCCCTCACCTGTTACTGAGGGGCTTGTGTGCAGGTGGGGTGTGGCCTCATTCACCACCTACCTGGTGTTCCTTCCTAGGTGGTGGAGCTGCCATGATGGGACTGCCTGCGCCTTCCCAGGCCCTGCTTTGGGGGGCTCTGTCCTCAAGGATTTACGTTTGCATTTTTGGTCAGCTTCTTTTTTAAAAAAATATTGATTTAGTTGTTGATAGACCTTTATTTTATTTACTTATTTATTTATGTGTGGTGCTGAGAATTGAACCCAGTGCCTCACACATGCCAGGCAAGTGCACTACCATTGAGCGCCAGCTCCAACCCTTGGTCGGCTTCTTGATAGTGCCACCTGGAGCCAGTCTTGACAGTTGCTGCTGAGGGTTCTGGGCCTGTGGAGCATGAGCTCTGCCTGGGTTGGGAGACCAGCCTTGGGCGGGTGCAGTGGCCATGCCAGGCTCCACAGTGCTTCAGTCTGTCCCATCCCCATGCACCCTGGGGGCACTGGTTCTCAAGTCTCTTCAGAGATGCAGAGGATGGTCGGGAGAGCTCAGACACCCTGGAGCCTGTTCCTCTGGTGGTGGCTTGGTCTTCTTGTTTTAGTGACGCTCTTTGGATTGTTGCAGACCTCTCTTGAGTCCCCTCAGCTCTGAATAAGGTGACTCCACAGTGTTCGGGGCCTTCTGGAAGCACTTCTTATATGGTTTTTCTTTAAAGAAAAAAAAAAGAGGTTGTTTCATTACTATGTTAATTCATCTAAGTGAACTTTAAAAACATTTTTTCACTTGGGAAAAAAGAGTTGTATATCTTTTAAAGCTGAAGGAACCCTGGTGTCTGACTGTCTAGTATTGTCATGACCACGACCCCTTGGTGGTGGATAACTTCCTGATGTGACCACCTCAGATGATCTCGGCCACCAGCACACAGGACTCTGTCCTCCTGGGTTGTGATTCGAGGACTTCATGTGAGCCTGTGCCTGCAGGGTGGCAGGTGTGATGTCACTGTCTGGTGGGGAGAGGGGCTCAGGAGGTGCTCCCTGAATGTGCTGCTGGAATCTGGGTAGCTGCAGAGAAGTGGGGGCTCCTTTCCCAGGAAGAGCCGTCTGTGGTCGACACACTGACGTTGGTGTTGATGTCCTTCACACAGGCTGCATTGGAGAGTGAGCAGGAGCCTGCTGCGTGTGAACAGGAGAGTGAGCAGGCGCGGTCTCTCTGCCAAAGGAGGAGCAAGCCTCTGCAGCCCCAGGAGGACAGCCAGGTTCAGCAGGTGTGTGGTGGAGTGGGGGTAGAATGTGTCACATGGAACCGTCATCTTAGCCACTGGAGGGGGACTGCTCAGTGGCAGGGAGCACTTTCTGCATGAGCAGCTTCACCTCCAGCCCCGAATGACCCTTCACCTCACACACCTGGATTATGCCCTCCATGTGAGGACTCGCGTCCCCCCCACAGCCTAACACCCTCCGCTCTTCTTCCCATCTGGGATCTGGCTGCTCGGGGACTTCACGTTCGTGGACTCCTGCAGGGCTGGTCCTTCGGTGACTGGAGCCTTCGACTCACACAGCCCCTTGGGTCCTCTGAGCGGTGTCACTGTGTACAGCTTCATTCCTTCTTGGCCTGGGTGGCAGGCCGTTGCCCTGTCTCCTGTGGTCATGCGTGATGCTGCTGGGAACGCTGACCCAGCCTGCGGGTCTTCTGGGCAGACGTAGGAGGGGTTGCTGTGTCCCATGTGTGGCACTGTGTTTAGCCATTGCAGAATCACCGTTCCTCACTCTCTCCTGCCTGCGAGCCCAAGGGTTCTGTCCCTCCAGCCCTTACCCAGTTATCTTGTGCTTTGCTGGTGGCAGCCATTGATGATGGGTGTGACGCAGTGGCTTGCTGTGGTTTTCCCTAGTGGTGTGATGCTGAGCGTCTTTTCCTGTCCTTAGTGTCCTTTTGTCTCTTCTTTGGAGAAAGGCCTGTTAGTTCCTCTGCCTGTTGTGAGTCAGGAGGTTGGTTCTTGCTGCTGTGTTGGAAGGTGTGGCTGTTTCCATGCTGTGTGGCCACAGCCCCTGCTGGTCTCTCACTCCACCTCTTCCCTGGCTTTGCTGCAGTACAGGGCGCCAGGCTTGACCTCACAAGGAACTGGAGGTGAGTGTGCTAGTGCGTGCGTGCCAGGTACTGTCCTGGGGATGCCAGTGTTCTCGCTGCTGAATCCTCAGGGCTCTGGGGCCTGGGGAAGCACCTTCCCGACTTCCAGATCCTGCGGTTGCTGAGAAGCAGCTCGTCTGACTGCAGACACTGGCAGAAGATTTCTGTGGGGTCGTGGCAGTGGTCAGTCAGCAGCAACAGTCCAAGGGACCTCTTCCCAGCTCAGAGGCCCCTCTTGTGTGGAAGCCAGTGGCCTTGTTCAGGGATATTGGTGGGGGCAAGGGGTCGCAGTACCAGTGAGGCTGGGGGGCGCAATTTCATCCGAGCCCCTGGACTCTCAGGAACGGAGGCCTTCCAGAGTACGTCTGAGACCTCTTCCTAAAGGAGCTGGCGTTGTTTCTTCCTCCTTCCCCACCCCTCTCCCTCTCCCTCCCACCCTCTCTCAAACTCTCCCCCTCTCCAGGGATTCAACCAAGGGTGCTTAACCACATCCTCAGCCCCTTTAAAAAACTTTTTACTTTGAGACAGGGTCTTGCTCAGTTGCTTAGGGCCTTGCTAAGTTGTTGAAGCTGGCTTTGAACTTGATCCTCCTACCTTAGCCTCCTGAGTTGCTGGGATTACAGGTGTGCACCACCACACCCAGCTGGGAGCAGGTATTTCTGCTATGACACATGTATACATCCCTGAAAAGCTACTTATTCTGTTAAAAAAAAATACAGCTCATGGGTAAGTGGGGTTAGAAGTTTTATTAGTCAAGATCAATGCAGTTTTATTACTCAGTTACCAACAAAAATAATTATAACAACAACAACAAAAAGAATTAGCTGGGCTGGGGTTGTGGCTCAGTGGTAGAGTGCTTGCCTACCACGTACAAGGCACTGGGTTTGATCCTAAGTACCACATAAAAATAAAATAAATGAAACAAAGGTATTGTGTCCAATTACAACTAAAAAACATTTTTTTTTTTGTAAGTAGTAGCCCAGTTAACCAGCTACCTAGGAGGCTGAGGCAGGCAGGAAGATCATAAGTTTGAGGCCAAGATCCTGTCTCAAAATTAAAACACACACACACACAACTATAAGGGGCTGGGATGTAGTTCAGTGGAGGAACACCCTGGGTCCAAAACCCCAGTACCAGAAATACACAGACAGCCAAAGTTAAATTCTAAATTTAGAAAGAAATTGTAAAGTTGACGCCATGGTCAACCCTTAACCAGTGGGCGCTGCGGGTGGGAGGGGATGGGCGGTGCCAGCACCTGGAGATGGTCAGGAGCCCTGTGGTGAGTGGCACAGGCAGGGGCACGCATCCTTGGTTCCCTGTTGGCACAGGCTGTGGTGTGCCAGGAAGCCTGTCTGCAGTTGCTCCTCAGGCAGACCAGACACGGAACATGTTGTTTGTCTTGCAAAATGATCCTGCAAGCCTTTAAAACACATAGTGAATGTCCTGGTGTCCTGGCGCTTGGGCTCTGCAGCCCACGGTGGCCGTCTCTGAGCTCAGGCCCTTTCCCTCTAGCAGAACTGCTGTGCTGACATCCTGCCACTCCTGTCTATTCTGCCAGCTGTGGTCTGCATACAAGGGGCGCAGACCGTGGCGTGTGTGAAGCTGCTCCGCTGTCCTTCCCCAGTGGCCCTGGTACCCATGCCATGCCCTGTGCCCCTTCTCTCCCAGTAGCCTCTCGTTCCTGTGTGACGTGCCCACTTCCCCTGCCCTCCCTGGTGGCCCCTTGCCCCACGCGATGCCCTGTGTGCTTTGGCGGTCCTGCTTTCTAGCTGGGCTTTACCTGCATGCCCCCTGGAGCTCCTCTAGGGGTGCATGTAGGTCTGGTGTTGGTGCTCTTTCTTGGGTCAGGTCATGCAGCTCTGTTGTGAGGTGGCTCCCAGCTTGTCTCCCCTAGCTGCCCGTACCTGCCCCTCACCTGTGGGGCCTGCTTGCCACTCCCGGCTCATGGCTGTGTGGTGGTGTGTGGGGGTCTGAATGTGTGCCCCCTTGTGTGCTAATAGGGTTGTGCACCTGTCAACGTGTTTATGCCTGTTGTGTTTCATTTCTGTGAAACACTGGCTTGTGTCTTTTTTTTTTTTTTTTTGGTCTGTTTTTTGCAGACTTATGGCAGTTCTTCATAGAGTCTGGATTTTTTCTGATGTGTTTTTTTCTTCTTGGACGTTTTATGAGTGTGGTTTGATTGATGGATTTGGTTCCATTCCTTTCCCTCTATCCTTGCTTGGGTGCCTTCCCCTGCTTCCCACAGTCATTCTCCAAGCTCAACTCACAATCAGTCATGGCCAGTTCGTCCCTGCGTGGAGGGCGTGAGGAGGGCTGGYGCTGCCCTGTTAGGTGAGTCCCTGGGGTTTTGAGCCCCTCACTCCGGTGTCCAGTCAGGGCTTGGAGATGCACTGGAAGTGGGCCTTCTGCTGCCAAGAGGGGTTTCAGAACAGCCTGTCGTTGCTGACTCAGCCCTGGGTTCCTTTTGCAGACTTGGCTCTTGGTGCTGGGTTTGCATGCAGGTTCTGGAGCTGGCACTGCGGTTGCTCACACAGGCTGGTGGCGCTGGTGTGGAGTGGCACTGGCCTTTCCCTGGTGAGGAGTTCATGTCCTCTGGGGCAGTGTCTGTGCAGGTGTCTTTCTGGGTTAAAGAAGGCTCCTGTTCTTGGTTTGTGATGGATTTTTTTTTCTTAAAACTGTGAGTAGGTATTAAATTTATTTGCTTGTGCATTTAGCACTGCATTTCTTCATTCAGTCTGGGCATGTGTGAGCTACAATAATTGGTCCTAACATGGTGTAGAAACCAACCTGAGTCTTTGTGATGAGCTGAGCTGCAGCATGATTTTCATGGACCCCGCTGGATTCTATTTTCTAGTATTCTTTTTAAAAAAAAAAAATTAAAAACCCCTTTATTTATTTATTTTTTTAGGTGTTGATAGACCTTTATTTAGTTATTTATATGTGGTGCCGAGAATCGAACTAGTGCCTCACATATGCCAGACAAGTGCACTGCCGCTGAGCCACAATCCCAGTCCCTTCTAGTATTCTTTTTTTATGCTTTTGCACCTGTCGCTTTTATTCTGCTTGACCTATAGTTCCCTTTTCTTTTATGGTACACATTCATAAAATGAGTGACAAGTATTCTCCACCCCTCTCTTTTTTCTGGAAGGATTTGGGCAAAATTAGAATGGCTTGAAATAAGTATTTTCTTAAAATCCATCTGAAAGTTAATCTCTTGGGAAGACTTTAAAGTACTCATTTCCTGTCTGCATATTAGTAGGGTTATTTTTATTTTCTGTCTTTTAACGTGGCTGTGTTGAGATGCTCACCTGCACTGCTTTTTTTGGTCAATGAACTCGAAGACTGTTACCCCCACCTGCGGCAGGATGGGATCAGCAAGTGGACATTAGCTCTTTGTGTGGCCACTGGTAGGACTGACCTTGCCTAGGAGCTCCCTGGCCTATAGCTAGCTGTCCACCGTCTACCATCCACTGTCACACACCAGTGGCTGGGCCTATAGACCTGTCTTGAACCACCTGGGACACAGTTCCCTGTGCTGATAGCATTTGGATACATTGCTCATCTTCTGTCATTGGTCATTGTTTGACACCTTGAAACTTGAAATTCCCTGTTTGATTTTCCCAGACGCCTGTGTCTTTGTCTTGGTTTCTTCAGTGGTTTTCTAGAAGTTTTATTTTTTTTGTTTCTCCTCCACTGCACTGTGTATCCCTGCAATGAGGAACGCTGGCCTGTTTTCAGTTTCTGATGTTATTGTGGGCCTCCTCTGACCTCCCTGCCCAGGCTCGGTGACCCCACGGCTGCTCACCCTCAGGGTGGAAATGTGGTGCCAGTTGTGAGCTGTCATGGTGCATGACTTCTCTCCTGGTGGCCACTTGCTTTTGGCTCTTCCCCTCTGTTCCTGAGCTGGAACCTGCTGGCCCGACACTGTCCTGTACCTGCCCTGTGGGTGGATGGCCACCTGGGTTGTCCACAGCGAAAGCATGTGCATGGCTCTGGCCTGGCATCTCTGCCCCGGGCAAGGCAGCGCTCTGTGGCACTTTCCTCTCCTGTGTGGCCGGTGCCGGTGTGTACCTCAGTGGGTTAGTCCCGGGAAGTTGGCACAAGGCGGAGACCCGTGGATTGAGGGCTCCAGCTGGTGTGTTTATCTTGTCATCTTTTCTAAGTGACACAGAAAAGTGGCTGAGTTCTCTGGCCASTGCTTGGGGCAGCCCCAGGGAGTCCGAGAGAGCTGGTGCCAACCCACCCCTCCTGGCCCCTTCTGCTGAGGTTTTGAGGTTTGTTGTTTGCTTTAAACAGGTATAGGAAGAATTTTTGCCTGCTTGGCAACTAATTTTTTATTGTGAATAACCAGATGCAGGGATTTTGAGTTGTATTTGTGAGGTGAATTTGACAGATCTGTCCCTTCCTTCCCCTGGTGGCAGTGCAGATTGGGGTTATTCATGTATTCTTTTTTTGTAATTGGTGGATAATGGAAGGAAGGAATCCGTGTCAGTAATTTTCCTCTCTAGTCACCCTCATTCACCTTTAGCGTTTTTTTCACATGCAGCCTAGGAAGTGAGGATGGGACTTTCTTGCAGACGCTGTTCTGACTAAATCGTCTCACTGAGGTTTGGCCACTTCTCCCTGCAGCTGAAAGGCCAAGTCCTGTCCTTAACCCAGGAGGTGGCGGAGTGCCGGGCTGAGCTTGAGAGGCTACAGCAGCGCCGTGAGAGGGAGAACCAAGAGGGTGCCACCCTTGTCTCCATGCTCAGGGCGGATGTGGACCTGTCTCAGAGCGAAAGGTCAGCATGTCCCTCACCCCACCTCCTGTTGAGTTGCCTGGCCATGTGGCTGCCTCCCTAGACCCACTGTGCTCCTGTGGGCTGCTGTGCAGGTGAGGTCTGGTGGGCGAAAACCCTGGCCACACCCTCCTTCACACACTAAGAGTACTTGGGCGCATGCAGATGCCTGCATACCTGCCACCTTGCTTTGTCATATCTTCATATTTTATATTACAAAAAACCATGAAGCCTGGCACAGTGGTGCACACCTGTCATCCCAGTGGCTCGGGAAGCTGAGGCAGGAGGATCACAAATTCAAAGCCAGTCTCAGCAACTTAGCAAGGCCCTAAGCAACTTAGTAAGACCCTGTCTCTAAATAGAAAACAAAAGGGCCTGGAGATGTGGCTCAGTGGGTAAGCACCCCTGGGTTCAATCCCTGGTACCAAAAAAACAAAACAAAAACCCATGAAGACTCATGATCTCACTTCCTCCCACCCAGAATCAGTTCCCTGCCCTGACAGCAGGCAAGTCTTCCACATGTCCTCTCCGAGTGCATAGGCTGTGTGCCAGCTGTCCTCTGTGTGCCAAGGCACATGCCCACTGGACACTGGCTGGCCTGTAGGCTGGCTAGTGGCCTCTTCAGGCTGGGTGCAACTCTGCTTGACTGTGCTCTGCCCTCAGGGGAGCGCTCCGTGATGCCCTGAGGAGGCTGCTGGGTGTATTTGGAGAGACGCTGAAGGCCGCAGTTGCCCTGAAGAGCCGGATTGATGAGCGCCTGGGTCTCTTCCTGGACCATGCAGAGGCAGGCCAAGCCCCATCAGCAGGTGCCAGCACTGGGTGGCTCACCTAGGGGTCTGGGGCCTTGGGGGAGGAGCTGCTATGCCAGGATGCTCTTATTCCTTGCCAGTGTCCCCTCTTAGAGAGGCGAGGTGGGACAGGCCAGGGCAGAGCTGCTTGCTTCCTGTGGCGGTCGCTGTTTCACTTAGGAGCTGGGTCCACGTTCTCTGTGCGCACGCGCTGGTTCTGGGGGCTGTGGCTGGATGGTTTGTTCACTGGGTGGTGTGTATAGTGTTTGAGTTTGCTCATCTTGTAGCTCCGCCCCTGGAGGAGATGTGGTCAGATGCAGCCCTGCTAGAGTTGGACAGAGCTTTGCCTGAGGGTGCAGAGATGTCTTCGGTGGCTGAGATCAGCAGTCATGTGTGCGAGAGCTTTTTCATGAGCCCTGAAAGTACGCTGGAATGCGAGCAGCCAATCAGAAGAGTCTACCAGAGCCTTGGCATGGCCGTGGACGGCCTTTTGGAGATGGCGCTGGACTCCTCCAGACAGGTGAGGCCCGAGGCACACCTGAGGCTGGCAGGTAAGAGAGTGGCTGAATAGGGCGTGCGGTGATGTAGCTCGGGGACAGCACGTGCTCTTCCAGCACTATTGACACGGGATTTCTAATGGCCGACGCTGCTGCCTGTGAAGGTGGATCCGATGTCCAGGACGCTTTCCTTGTCCCCTTTCCACTGGGCGTTGGGTCAGACACTCCCTGAGCCTGGGCCTGTGGGCCTGGCCTTGGTGCTGGTTACCTTTGCTGATCCCAGCAGCGTGCAGTCGTGTGCTCGTGTCTGGAGGAGGCAGGCCTGCTGTGAGGACATGTGGAACCTCAGGTGCTTAGTTGAGATCAGAAACCTGCTGCTCTGACTTGATGTGCTGCTGTTGTGATCCCACTGAATGTGCACTGAGATACCAGGAGGAAGAGGCTTTGTCCCCCCTGAGACTTTTCAGAAGAGGCTTCATCCGGGTTGGGTTCACTGGGCAGTTGGGCATGTCCATGTGTGGCATGGCTGTGGGGGCCTTTTCTTTACCTTCTTCTCCCGGGCACCTGCTGTCCTCCAGGAGCTGGGCACACGTGGCTAGTCTCTGACAAGTAGATCCTTCTGCTGTCCCACGTGTGACCGGGTCAAAAGAGAGCCCGCTTGCTCCAGGGTGAGCCGTGGTCTTCATTAGGAGCCCGCCCAGCAGAGAATATGCTTTTTCAGGGTGGGAACATGGGGGGTTGCCAAGAGAGAGTGGGGGAACTCTTTCTCGGGGTCCTCAGCGGAACTTCAGAGTAGCCATGTGTCGCCTGGGCAGGAATGGGGGACAGGAGGCTGGGAGCAGGGTTGGGCCAGATGGGGCCTCCTGCTGGGCACCATGTGCTTGTGGGTGAGTGGGGCTTGGCTGCAGGAAGGGGAGGAAGTGACGACAGCAGAGCGGGTGCTGGATGTCGGAGACGTCGCCACCCCTGGGCCATTTTCAAGGAAGAACCAAAAGATCTGCTTAGAGGCCAGTGGATATCCGTAGGCCCAGAAGCAGCTAGAGCTGTGTTAACTGATGGGGAGACTGAGGGCTGTCTGTAGGTGGCAGCTGGCCTTAGGCATCCTGAGTTCAGAGATCCACTGGGCCCCTCAGCCTACAGATGGCCCAGAAGCCCTAGACTGGACACACGTGCTGGGGAGACATCAGCCATGTGGGATACCACCCTGGTGACATGGCCCTGGGTGTCAGGAGGCGCAGGGATGCACCTGGTGCCTTGTCCTGCACTGGCCCTGCCGGAGGCCTGGGATGGAAGCAGATTCCTGCTGGTGTGGATATGAGCTTTGGTTGTTTCTGATATGCAGCTCTGAACCTCAAATATGTTTCAGCAGCTGGAGGAAGCTCGTCAGATTCATTCTCGCTTTGAGAAGGAATTCAACCATAAGAACGAGGAGACGGCACAGGTCCTGCAGAAGCACCAGGAGCTGTTGGAGTGCCTGAAGGAGCAGCGGGCGGCCAGGGCCGAGCTGGCACTGGAGTTGCACAGGGCTGAGGGTGAGTGTGGCTGCTGGGTCCCTGGCCTGGGTGTGGCCCTGTCACAGAGGTAGGCACAGCTTTGCTGTAGAAGTCGCTAGGGAGATTTTTTTTTTTTTTTTTTTTTAACAACTGGGGACTGAACTCAGAGCCTATATCCCCAACCTCTGAGCCATATACCTCTGAGCCATATCCCTGATCCTCAGCCTTTCCAGTAGCCGGGTTTATAGGTGTGTGCCACTGCGTTTGGCCAGGAGTAGCATTTTAAAGAGCAACGTGTATAACTCAAGTAAATCCGCTTTGGAGCACCAGTGGGTGTTTCTTGAGGAGACAGGGGCGTGTGGCCCCAACGCAGTGGTTTGGGCACCCATGATGCTGGCGGGGCTCTTTGAAGACTGAGGGCCTTTGGAGCTGTGGCTTGGCACTTGGTGCTGAGCTCTCCTACTCTGCGCTGCACACTCCTGGCAGTACCATGCTCTGCCGCGGCCCTCCTCTCCCAGCTGCCCCTCTGCTGGGTGGGGTGCCGACAGGCATGCTTCTCAGGTCTAGCTGTACATGGAGGCCTCTCCTCCTTCTGGGGTGGGCCTCTGCCTGCTTCCCAGCTCACATGCCGTGTCCTGGGTGGGCGCCTTGGTGCATGTGCCCCTGCCCCGAGCACACTTGCCTCAGTTGGTCTCTCCTCAGGCCTCCTGGAAGGGTTCAAAGTGGAGAAAGCAGATCTGCAGGAGGCACTGGGCCGTAAGGAGGAGTCGGAGCAGCAGCTGGTCCTGGAGCTGGAGAGCCTGGGGCGGCAGCTGGACCAGGCCGCCCAGGAGAAGGCAGCCCTGCAGGAGGAGCGCTCCATCTTGTGGAGCCAGAGGGAAGCTTGGGCTGCTGAGGYGGAAACAAGAGAAGCAGGTAGGGATATGGGTTTGGAAGCTGAGCCCAGATTCCAGGAAGTGTGGCACTTCTGGAGATGAGACCTGGAGCGTGGGGGCTCTTCTGAGGAGTCCAGGAGTACAGCTCAGCAGGCACTGGCAGCGGAAGGGTAGCAGGGTGGTGGGAGCACCCACTCAGGCTGAAGGTCCCGAGGCAGTGAACTCCCGGCTGGTGCTGTGCCCCTGGGAGGTGAGGATGTCTCTGGGCAGCAGGTTGAAGCTCCTGAAAGGTGAGCTACTCACAGTCACACCAACCCCGACTTGGGAAGTGTTGTTTTGACAGGAGTGACTTTTAGACGTTTTAGCCTTAAAAAATTAAAATGAAAATAGTCAGAACATGAGAAGCTCAAGAGGTGTGTTTGTGGAACAGTGCGGCTTCTTCAGAGCCAGCTCCTTGCTGACACCCGGGCTTTCCCAGGATATGAGGGGCTCGCCCTGTGGGCCCCCTTGACCTGTTCTCTCACTGTCCCACGTGCTCAGGGTCTGTCTGTCTCACAAATGTCCACATCTGTCCATGTGGCCACCTTGGCGGGGCCCCTCTGCTGTTCTATTGCCTGTTGGAGTGACCTTGCTGGGGGGGTGTCCTTGAAACCTGTACCTGGTGTGAGACCCTTATTTGTTACATGCACTATCCAACCCATTTTCTATGAATTTTCATTTAAATTTCTTTTTCTTTTTTAAAGAACCACTAGCTTATTGGGTGCATTGGTGCATACCTATAATCCCAGAGATTTGGGAGGCCAAGGCAGGAGGGTTGCAAGTTTGAGGCCAGCACAGACCAGCTTTTGGCTTTGTCATTCCATTTTGTTCTCTGTCCTGTTTCCCTGGGCTTGCCCTTAGCTTTGCTGTTTCTCCTCCTTGAGTTCCGGAGGACCTGGGGATTCTCCTTGCCTCTCCCATGGTGTCTGCCCACATCTGTTATCCTTTGGCTTTTGAGTTCCCTCGGGGCCCTCAGCCCAGAGTGTTGTGCGGGAGTCCCTTTGTCCATGCAGTGTGAGGCTCACGGTCCTCACTGGTCATTGCTCAACATCTCCTGCTTATTGGCTCTTGTTCTCCCTCTGATACTTTGCCCATTTCCACTTCTTACTATGAACTTCTGGAGTTAAACTGATTTCCCCCCTTTGTATATGTTACTTCGACTCTATTTCAGCTGTTCTTTGTTCTTTTGTCTTAAATGCGTCTCTTACTGATCTGTGCTCCTCACTCAGCCCCGACCCCCAGGGCTGCAGGAGGGCAGTGTGGTGTCCTGGATGATCTGCTGGCCTGCCTGTTTCTCCTGCCCTTCAGGCAGGTTTTCTGCCCCACCTCTGTGATGCTCTGCATCTCCCTTTGCAGGCACTGCGGTCATTGCAGCGCCCGAGAACCCAGGTTTGTAAAAACAAGCATGATCGCTGCGTGCTGTACCTACGTTTGCATCAAATTTGGTGGATTATTTACTACAGAGGGAGAGTATCTTGGAGCTTTTGTGGCAGACTATTAAATCAAATGACACGTGATCTTCAGCACTTACTCACGGCAGCTGCCGGTCGTTCTGTTGAAAGTTCCTGCCCAGTGCAGGCACTCCTCGAAGCTGCTGCAGCCACTAAGCTACGCTGTGCTGATGTGTGTGCTGGGCTCCGGGGCAGGTACGGTTTTGGTGGGTGGGTCCTGCTCCCAGCCTCCTGGGAGATCCCCAGCAGAGGGGCTGGGCCTGTGTCCCTTCCTCCAGCASTGGCCCTGAAGGTGCTCGTGTTGGGGCTGGTCGGGCCCAGGCCTGGTGGATGACATGGTCACAATAGCATGTCTAAGGTACTGTAATTGCTTACTTACCAGCATGAGACTTTGAGAATGTTACCTTGGTGGTGATGATAGTGTGTCGTCAAAGATTGACAGCTTTCAAAACTGGTGAAATGTCAGTAAGAGTGCTTGTTATGCTTGCTCTTTCAGTTTTGGGGAGGAAGTCGGGRTCCACCACCAGCAAGTCCCCTTTTGTTTTTCTTCAGGTATTGGAGATTGAGCTGCCCCCTACCCCCACCTCAGGGGCTGGGTGCTCTCTTGCCACTAAGCTACATCCCCAGTCCTTTCTATGAAATTTTTAGCAGTATCTCACTAAGTTGCTGAGGCTGGCCTGGAATTTTCCATCCTCCTGCCTTAGCCTTCTGAGTGATTGGGATTATAGGTATGCCCACTGTGCCTTGAAGCCAGCCCCCTTTTCAAGATGTTTGTTTTTGTTTTATTTTTTTAAGTTTAGCCATTTGTTTGTTTGTTTGTTTGTTTGTTTATTTTTAATGTACTGCAGAGGATTGAACCCAGTGCCTCACCCATGCTAGGCAAGTGCTCTACCACTGAGCCACAATCCCAGGCCCTCGAGATGTTTATTAATCTCTGGTTTCAATCTGTGGGTGTAGGCTTTGTACCCAGTGTTCTAGTCTGTTTTACGTTGCTATCACTAAGCACTTGGGGCTGTGTAATTTGTAACTAATAGAAACTGGTCTCTCACAGATCTGAAGGCTGGGGAATCCGAGGAAAAGGTGTTGGCAGGCCTGGAAAGCCATTGCCTTCTCCTGTGAGAAGAGGCAGAAAGTGGAAGGCTAAGAGAAGGTCAAGGCAGAAAGTGGAAGGCTAAGAGAAGGTCCCCTGAAAGCCCTTCCGTGGAGGCACTGAGTCCGCCTGTGGGGTTGGAACCCTTGAGGCCCGCCCCTCTTAGAGGCCTCCCCCAAACTGTCGTGTTGGCAGTTACATTTCACCCTGAGTTTTGAAGAGGGCAGACGTTCAAGCCGTGGCTTTTGATTTATCAGTTGCTTGATGGCTTTCCTCTAAGACAAGTCACAGCCCTGGCACTGCTGTGGGCAGGTCTCTGGCACCTCTGGTGGCCCATCCAGGTGGTTTCCAGCGGTGCTGCCTCTGGGCAGGCACCAAGTTGCACCTGTGGGCCAGGCTCCAGCTCATGCTCTGTTTTCCACCTTGGAGAACTGAAAGTACAGACAGGATTCCCAGGAAGTTGGCCCCTACCTCCCTGAGGCACCAGGGTGTGTTCTCAGGCTTTTAAAGCTTTTTATTTTAGCCAGTTTTCATTGAAGACATGTAATTTTTACTTACAGAGGTGGTTTATCTCTGTTTTAGAGGGTGTCTTGCCAAGTCATGGGTATGTTAGGGTGAGAGCTCAGAGTGCGATGGGCTGTGCTGTCCTTGGGGTGACGTTCATTCTCACCGTGGCTTCTGCCTCGGCAGTGTCACATCCCTATGGGAGAGAAAGATTTCAGGAAGGGGACGAGGCCCACCCACCTCCACGGGCGTCGGGTTTGGGAGATTCACAGGCTCATGCTGTGGCCCTACCCCTGGCCACTGCTCCTTCCTGGGCAGCCGTGAACAGCCGTGTCAAGGCCTGCCACATGTTGTCATCAGCAGGAGGCGCCTGCTGCCTGGGCCTTGCTCTGCACAGTCTGTGCCCTCAGGGGGCTCCTTGGTGTCTCTTTTTTGGCTTCTTTAGCACTGAAGAAAGAAGTGGAATCTCTAACCAGGGAGCAGGTGGAGGCCAGGGAGCAGGCAGAGAAGGACCGCGCAGCCTTGCTCTCCCAGGTCCGGCTGTTAGAGTTGGAGCTGGAGGAGCAGCTCTCGCAGCACCGTGGCTGTGCCCGGCAGGCCGAGGAGGAGGCTATGGCCCTGAAGCAGCAGCTGGCTGCCCTGGACAAGCAGCTGCGTAGCCAGCGGCAGTTCATGGACGTAAGCAGCCTGGGCAGTGAACCATATTCCCCTAGCTAGGTCCTCACAGCAAGTGGCTTCTGCCACAGGACCCTGTAGGTTGGCATCCAGTGCTCCCCCGTGAAGGCAGATGGCTGTGTGGCCGACTCCATGGGCTCTTGGGTCCTGTCAGTGTTTTGTGATGATGATTCTGAGGGAAGAGCCTGCCATCTCAGGAGGTATCTGTATACCTTGCCTTCCCCTGCAGGGAGCCCAGGGCCATCTCTGGACCCTGGCTGCCTGCTCCTGACTGGCTTCCATCTGCCCCTTACAATGGTGTCAAGTGTTTCAAAGGCCACCTTCACATTTCAGCTAGAGGGGTGCTCCTCTTCACCTTACTCCTTTTACAAAAGGACCAGGATGAGAGGGGCTGTGCCCAGGAGTACCCCATATTACTGGGTGGGTGGGCGTGTGCAGCAGGGCAGCCATCCTCGCCCAGCTGCCAAGGTCTCCTGGGGTGGTCCTTGCAGGAGCAGGCTGCTGAGCGTGAGCATGAGCGTGAAGAGTTCCAGCAGGAAATCCAGAGGCTGGAGGGGCAGCTCCGCCAGGTGGCCAGGCTGCGGCCCCTGGGCCCCTTTGACAGTCAGGTGGGTAAGCTGCCGTTTGCCCTGCCTTCTGGGGAGCCCATCTCTAGAGTGTTTCTAAGCTTTGTCTCTCTTTACATTTTTGCCCTCCATGTGCTCAGGGACGTCAGTGTGCACAGCTGGATGAGGAGGTAGGATGGCAGCGCCGCCTGTGCCCCGTCCCTTCTACACAGCTGATGCCCCCTGCTGGCTGCGGCTCCCTCACCTGTGTGGCCAGCAGGGGCCACATGCACCACCCTGTGTCTTGGTGCTTTCTTGGCTTTTGCTCAGGTCTGTGACTATCTGCACCCTCCTGTCTGAGCTGGCTCTAGGTGATTTCCTGATTCTTCTTTAAAATTCAACTTACTTTGAGGAGATGGTGGGTTCTGTGTGGTGGTAAGAAGTAAGGCTCAGAGAGAACCCTGTTCCATGGTGGCATCCTGCAGAACCCGACAGGGCTGCGGTGGAACAGCCATGTGCCCTGCAGTACCCTGTGCCCCTGGCAGCACGGACCCGCCCTGTCTCTGGAGCATTCTGTAGTGGAGTCTTGGATGCTGCCACTGGGGACTGGCTTTCCCCCCTTGTTCTCTGGAGGGCCACCCAAGTGGTTGCATCCTCAAGGGGTCTTTTTGTTGCCGAATAGTAATCTATTCCTTTCTGTCAAAGAAAGTTTTAGTTTACTAACTTGTCTTGTCTTACATTATTGCTTTTATGGATCTTCTTGTTAGGAGAGGATGCCCTTCCTGAAACACCTGTGTCTCATTCTTGTGTGGGTTTCATTGTGCAACTGAGGTCTGGAGAAACTTCTGTCACTTGTGTTGTGGGCTTTCTTTGTTTGGAAGAGAGGTTGTTGTTCAGCAGTCTGTTTTATTTCTCATGCTTTTTTGTGTTTTAGATTGAACTATTGCAAGAAAAGTTGAGAGAAAAATCGGATGGATTTAATGAGTTGGTTATAAAGAAAGAGTTGGCAGATAGGCAAGTGTTAATCCAGGAAGAAGAAATTAAACATCTGGAGGAGACAAACGCCAACACCAAAAGACAGGTGGCCCAGCTCCAGGAAGAACTGGAAAAACAGAAAAAGATGGTGAAAAAACTACAAGTAAAGCAACTGCATCCTAGGAGTGCAGTGGATGGCTGGGGTGTACAAGGGGCAGCACCTGACTCCCACTCTGTCCAATACTCCACCTGCCAGGGGCCAGTGCACCACGAGTCCTCAGTGGCCCGCTTAGTGGTTCACGTCTTGCTCACTTCCTGCCGACTTAGTCGCTCACTTAGTTGCTGATTTAGTTGCTCGCTTAGTTGCTCATATCTTGCTGACTTAGTTGGTCACTTCTTGCTGTCCTAGTTGCTCACTTAATTGCTTAGTCATTGCTGACTTAGTTGCTCATCTCTTGCTGGCTTAGTTGCTCACTAATTGGTTAGTCATTGCTGACTTAGTTGCTCACCTCTTGCCCACTTTATTGCGGCCTGAGCTTCTAACTGCCCAGGAAGTGGCGCTGTTTCCTTTGACCATTTGGTTGGTGGAAATTGAACTTCTGACTTTTAGTTCATATCACTGGAAGTTAAAACGTCCCTTAAAAAATGAGGCCCAAAGAACAGCCTAACTTGAGAGTCAGACTGAATTTTGTTCAAGGGTGACTCAGTTTTCATCAGCCTTGCCTGGTTCTTGTGAGTGCTGGTGGGAGGGACTGAGCCCCCAAGGACAGGGTGCCCTGGTTTCACCACCCTGGGAAGGACACCTCAGCACCTTTGTTTCCTGGTGGTCCTGCTTAGCCTTGCCCCACAGGAGATCCTTCCCTGATCCAGCACTTCCTATATGTCCCTGCCGGGTCCCTCAGGCTGCTTTGTCCCTTTGTTCATTCACTCAGCAGACTTTCACTGAGCTCGTTAGTGCTGGGAGTGAAGAAATGGCTTCCCCCACCCCAGGTCCAACCACCTGTACAACTTGGTATGCTAGTTTCTTGCCCACCTGTGTGTGCTGTTTCCCCCACTTAAAATGTGTTGAAGGTGCTGTGAGCCATACCCTTCCTCTTGCCAGTTTTTTTTCTAGTGTTTTGGAATTGGAGATAGCCTAGTGACTGTTTTTGTGCCTTGTCAAGTGATCACCAAGGTCTCTCCCAGTGGGATCATGGTGCTCCTGTGGCTCTCTCCAGCGTTGGGGGGTCTCAGCAGGAGCTCAGATGGGTTCTGTTTAGTGTCTGTGGTCTGGAGCCCCTGGGCACAGGTGAGTGCAGGGCCCCCATTGCTTTAGGATATCTCAGGATGTTCTATGTAATAGAGGCAGCAGAGTGAGGTCCCTGATTCCATAAGTGTCTGCCTAAAATAAATTTCCATCTCTTTCTTAAATAGGAAGAAGAGGCAGTAAAGGAACAGCAGAGGAGTGACGTGATACTGGTGCCGCTGCCGCAGTCTAGGACCCCCGAGGGCAGGTGTCCCATGCCTCCAAGGGGCAGCCCCCGGGAAGGCCCGGAGGTCCTGTCAGAGGCGCTGCAGAGGGCCCTGCTTCAGCACGAGAGCCAGGCAAGTGTGGTGCAGGCAGCAGCAGTGCCCATATTTGGCTTTGTCAAAAGATATGTGTCCAATGTGTGCTATCTCCTTTGTAATTCTGTCACTTTTATGTGATAAATTTTTATATTTCTAAAATTTTCAGAGCTATTTTGATTAATTATTAAGTCAGCTAGAAAATTAGATGATTTTTAATACTTTTTGGTTTTAATGCAAGGTTTTGGACTTAAAAGAACAACTAGAAAAGATGAAAGATGACCTAGTGAGTAAAAATGAAGAAATACTACATCTGAAGTTAAAACTAGATGTGCAGAGCGACCCTGTGGCCACCAGCACCCGGGGGCTTGACGAGGAGAGTGCCGGTATCAAGGTAGGCCACAGGGGCCTGCGGGAGGCCTGAGCTGGTGCTGCCCGAGCAGGACACCGCCCCACTCCAGCCTTCCCTCCAACACAGACGGGCGCCTGAGCGGGCAGACGGCTCTGGCTCCATGTGGCCCGGCGCGCGTGGCCGCAGCTGTCTCTGAGCCAGGGCAGAGGGCCGGCAGCCCTCCAGCCCTGTGTCCTGATTCTCCAGAGGGTCTTGTTGGGGTCGAGTTGCAGCAGGGCTTCGTCCCTGTGGTGGCTGGGAAGGAAACCCACCCTCAGTTAGGCCTTAGCACAGACCCTTCCCACTTCTTCATGGGAAGAGCTTGTTGGTACATCGGCCCAGTGGAGAGGGACGCAGCCTCCATGATGGGATTGGTGTGGGAGGGAACCTTTTGCAATCTCAGGGGTGACTCTGACGTACCTTGTTTGGGGTTGTCCCGTGGTACCAGCAACACTGTTTCACCATGAGCTGCTGGTGTGGGAGAAATGCGGGCCTGCCTGGCCCCCTCAGTCGCCTCTCCACAGTGACGTGCTGTGAGTTGAAGGTGTTTGCTGAGCCGCCCTCCCAGGGAGCCTCTCCCCTGGCAGAGCAGGGAAAAGGCCTCCCCTGTTCTTTGAGACCCTTTGAAGTGTGTGGCCTGGGAAGCGCAGGGATGGAATCCGGAAAGCCAAACACGCGCCATTTCAACAGACAGAGTGAGCAGAACAGTTTCTAGTGGGATTTCCGATTGTCAAAATTTAAACTACAGGCCTGCTTAGTTAGGATGGTCTGTTGTGCCTGTGAGGTCAGGGTTCAGGAGCAGGTCTCTCTGTCGGCTTTGTTACGGAGGTGATGCTCCCAGCAAGGCGGGTCCTATGCTGGGCTTGCAGCCCCTGGCTCCTGCATTTGTGAGACTTTGTTTTGCTAACTTTGGAGAATGGTATAGTGATGGCTAGGGCATTAAGGTAAAGAGTTTTGTGGGCAGTTTTTTATTAAAACTGTATTTGTTGGCAAAATTTGAAAACATCCTCTTGCATTACCTTGAGGAATGTCTTTAAAGCATTAATTAATTAATTAATACTTTTTTATATTGGGGATTGCACCCAGGGGCACAACTACCACCGAGTTACCTCCCCAGCCCTTTCAATTTTTTATTTTAAGAAAGAGTTTTATCACCAAACTGGTGATCCCCCTGCAGTGACCACAAGTGACCACTGTCACTTCAAATATTTCCCCTATGATAACCCTTTGTGGTCGCCACACACTGTTCCCGGCCCTTGACAATGTTGCTACCACTTACTTGTCCTTGATCCAAGATGTGGCGGCTCTTATTATGCTGCAGTGCCACTGTGCCTGTGGCGGTAGTTTTACGGCCAGTGCTGCTGTTTGGATCTGGAACTTCCCCCACCCTGGATGGTGGTGTTGGGAGGTGGTGGAGCCCCTGGAGGTGGGTCCCCGTGGGAGGAAGTAAGGTCCCTGGGCTGTGCCCCTGAGGGCATGTTGGGACCGACCTGCTTGCTCTGGCTTTCTGGTCAAAGGGAACAAGCCTCCTCCTCCATTGGCTCCCACCACGACACACTGTGCTGTCATGGGGCCTCACAACCATGGATGGAGGCCTGTGAGGCCACGAGCCAGAGCACTCTATCCTCTGGGTGGTGCAGGTGTCATGACAGTGATGGGAGGTGACACGTGATGTCTGGAGTCAGCAGTGCTCATTCTCCAGTGTGTTCAGTTTTCTGTCTGGTTCCTGTCTTTCCACGTGAGTTTTCAGCGGAGATGCCCTCCACTGGTGGCCATTGCAGCGGTGGGGTGGCTACTTCTTGTCTGCTCTTCAGATTTGGCCACATGTTCCTGGTTCACCGCTGGGTATCTTAAATGATTTGGATTGACATCCTTGACATTGTGCAGGTGATGGGGACTCTGGCTTCTGGAGTGCTGAGGCTGGGCTAGCCTCTGAGCTGCACTGTCTTATTTATAGGGACAGTGACCACCCTGGCCCCAGTGATGGCATGGGCTTGTTATGTGGAACTGACGTGGAACTTGGGGGTCTCACTCCCTGCTTCTATCTCCTGGGGACACTCCTCCCTCTGTAGCCTGACTGCCTTGTGTCCTCCTCCTGGGCCTGGTCTGCCTATGTCACCTGAGGGCAAAGTCTCAGAGCCAAAAACCTGCCATCCAGTGGCCTCTGCCATCGCTGAGCCCCCTACCCCCACCCCCCGTCCCGTCCCCAATCTCCTGTCAGGTCTCATGAGATGGATCTTAGCAGCCCTTTCCCCACTCTGCCCTCCCAATCCATATTCCAGCCCTCCCTGGCCCTTGGTAACCCCTACCAGTGCCAGCTCTCCCAAGGACCCCCAGGGCGTAGCCACAGCATGTACAGGGCTGTCCAACATGTGATCTTGCAGTGGCGTCCACCTTCAGCTCAGCCTGAAGCTGTCTTTGCCTTTCTTTTGGCACCGTAGCCTTTCCCCACGTCTTGCCTTGTGTCTGGGGGACCAAGGGCAGACTTTGGTGCTTCACTTCAGAATCACCTGAGTGTGGTATCTGTGTTGCACGCCACTGTACCCCAGTGTAGTTGGAGCAATTGGTGAGTAAGCAGAGGTTGCACAGTCACAACTGTCCTCAAGCCCCCCATGTGTGCAACAGATGGTGAATGGTGTGCAAAGAGCTAAAGGGCAGGAGGAGTGGCCATTATCTACGTGTGTCTTGCTAAGCATGCAGCGTGGCTTTTGTATCTGGTGAGTGAGTGCCAGGAACAGCTAAGAGCATCCTGAAGGGGACCAGAAGAGCACTGGGGTCTTATTTCTGTGTGGGGGCTGCATGGTGTTTTGGTTGAAGCCACTGGGAGGGAGCTCCAGTGAAGCTAAGCAATGCTGTAAGCCCTCAGCTGTTTTGGAAAGCAGTACATTAGACAGACCATAACAAATTGTTTGAAAATTGTTATAGAACACTAATTGGGTAGAAGCTTTCTGTTTCAGTCACTACCATTGATTTAAGAAAATGGAGTTTAGAGCCATATTGACATAGATTTTAGTCCTGATTTTCCAGTCACTATTTTTATAAGTTTGGAGAGAAAATAAGGTCCAAGTTGCAATGTTCCCACCTTTATCTCCCTATCACCTTTATCACAGTTATGATATTTTGTACCATAGAACTGTTGAGAATAGGTTAGAAAGCTCTTCTAGCACTTGGCCAAGCCAGCACTGGCAGCAGCTGGAGCGTGGGCCCTTACCCTGCTCCGTGTCATGAGGACAGCAGGCCCTGGTCTCTTCCAGCGAGCTTACCCTCTGGGTGGCAGGGCTGTGTGGCTTTCAGCCCTTGGGTGATGGCGGACCCTCTGGCCAGTTTTCTTCACTCTTACTCTATTGCTGGGGTAACACCTAGAACCTAAAGGCCCTTTCAGGAAAATGAAACAAAGTATCTAAATGTTAGCACTTAAAGGTGGCAAAAGCATTGTTTTATAGTGTCTTGGAAAGGGGCCAGGCCAGGCAGATCCCGGGAGTCAGAAGGTGGGGAAGCTGTACACCCTCCTCCTGTGACCTTGCTCCTGTCACTGTGCCATGCCTTGAGCTGTCTGACCTCTCTTACCTGCTGAGTGGGTTCAGGCTGATGTGTTGAAAGAGGAGGTCCAGGGCGGTTCCTTTGGTAATGGCCTCTGAAACATGTTTTCTCTTCAGGTTGAGTACAGCAGAAGTTCTGAGGTTGAAGAGCTGAAAGCCATTATTGAAAATTTGCAAGAGAACCAGGAACGGTTACAAAAGGATAAAGCAGAAGAAATTGAACAGCTGCATGAGGTCATTGAGAAGCTGCAGAGTGAGCTGTCCCTTATGGGGCCCGTGGTCCATGAGCTCAGTGACAGTCAGGTGGGCAGCCTGCACAGTGAGCTTCTCTGTTCCCAGGCCCCAGGCCCCGGAGGGCAGGTGCTGCAGGCTGAGCTCGAGGCCGCACGTGCTGCCAAGGAGGCCCTGGGCCAGCTGTTGGCCGACCAGGCACGTGGACATAGCGAGGCCCTGGAGGCCCTACAGCAGCGCCTGCGAGCAGCAGAGGAGGCCGCTGCCCGGCAACTGGCTGAACTGGGACACAGTGTGGCCCTGAGGGAGGCTGAGGTCCAGGGCATGGCTTCCCGGGTCCAGGAGCTCGAGGCCCTCCTGAAGGCAAGGGAGGCCACACTTGTGCAGAGAGATTCAGAAATCGGTGCTCTGAACAGGAGCAGAGCAGCACACTCCGCGGAGCTGGAGGCCGTCCTGCTGGCCTTGGCCCGCTTCCGCTGCGCCCTTGAACAGCAGCCTCGGGCTGCCCCGGAGGAGCCTCCTGAGCTCCAGCGGTTACGAGTGCAGTGTGTCCGCCTCAGCCGCCAGCTGCAGGCGCTGAGCCACCGGTTTCTGAGGTGCCAGGCGGAGCTGGGCAAGCAGCAGGCCTATGTGGACGCAGAGGCTGTGTGTGATGACTGGCTGGAGCAGGGGAGCGGAGGCCCCCACGGCCAAGGCCCACAGGTAGGCCTTGATCCCTGCTGGCCACGGATGCCCAGCTTCCGCACCTGAGGAGCTGGGGCTGCATGCGGCAGGGGCAGCTGGGCTGGGCTGGAGCGTTGGATTGAGTTTGTTCTTCTACTTTTCATCTCGCAACTTGGATGACTTCTCTTGTGCTGGACAGTGGGGCTACATTTGCCGTTGGTGGCTCCTGGCAGGGTAGAGGAGGGAGCGTGGAGCACTGGCTGGGCCAGGCCCATGTGGGACCTACACAGGAGTCAGGCTGGGCCTCACTCTTTGGTACCGTGTCAGACTTGTTATTACTGGAACCCCTCAAGTGCTTCAGGGGTTACATGTGGGGATCACTGGCATTGATTCCCTCTCATCTAACCAAATGGCTATACAAGCATTTCCTGCATACAATATTTTAAGCTCATTTCATTTTGGAACACAAAGCCCTATGTGACTTTTTCTTCTTAAAATATTCCTGTTTGCTTTTGAGTAGAGGACATCAGGGTTTAGCTGCACACTGCCCCTCACATGCCCAGGCAGAGCAGTTTCTGATCCAGATGCCTCCAGCCACCCTGTGCTGTGAGCCGCCTTGATGGGAGGGATGCCCCCAGCCTTGGGTCCTCAACCTGGCACTCTGACTTTGTGGGCATGGAGCAGAGGCAAGGTGCATTCCTCATGAGGTCCCTTCTGCCTAACAAGGCTCCAGCCTGGGCAGTCTTCAGCACAGCTTATAGTATCCAGACTTCTGCTTCACTCAGCTCTGACCGCATGTGCCTCCTGCTATTTCCTGTCAAGGATGATCTGCAGCCTGCCAAAGTCTTGGTGACACTGAAGGACACTGGTTTCCACAAACCGGAAAGTGCAGTGTCGTTGCTCACAGTCTGCCAGAGACAGCTGGAGGCAGAGCTACTCTTGGTGAAAGAGGGCATGTGCTTGAGCCCAGAGGATGTTGGCAGGGTGCCAGCAGGGATGCAGGTATGCAGGTGGCCGTGAGGGTGGGGCTGGGGTGCAGGTGCCTGGGCAACCCGTGTGAGATGTGAAGGTGTGTGCGTGTCACATGGTGCATGGCCTGTTTCTCCAGGGAGGGAAGGAGGTGGAAAGGCTCAACCATGGTGGGGTAATAGGTATGTGGTGTGTCTGGGGTCAGGGAGGGATGCACACGGGGCACACATCCATTTCAGAAAGGACAAAGGTGTGCGAAAGCATATTATGGATTGGGACGTGGGTATGCGGGCTTGGGGACTGCAGGTGCACAGCTGTGCATCCTGGGAGGCTGGGCACAGTGTGTGGAACTCATGGTAGTGAAGGCTCGTGGCCACATACAGCAGCAGGTTCTGGATGCATCTGCCCAGCCGTGACGGTGTGCCTTGTCCATCGTGAGGTCTCCGCCAACTGCACTGAAGACCGGCTTTGGACATGTTTGCCCTGGTCTGAGCAGCTAGGGGTTTTGTGAGGACCACGTTGCCCGGCTTCACACTGCTCCAGACCATTGTGCCCCAAGTGTCAGTCCGACATTGAAATGCTTTAGGGTTTAGGTCTTGACTGCTGTTTTTTTTTCCTTCCAGGAGAGTTGGCTTACATTTTCCCTGGGAGTTTGCTCCTCAGCAGCCTTAGGCCACGCCAGGGTTCTGACTGAGCGAGGGGGCACGTAGCCATGCTCCTCTGCCACATATGCTCCACACGTTTTTCATTGGTGTCTGTCAGTGCCTGCCTCCTGGGGGGATGTGCCCTGTGGCCCTGCTGGGCCAGCCATTCCCCATCTCATCCTCACTGCCGGTCACCTGACTGCTCAGCCACGCTTGCCTCCGTGGCGGTTCTGCTCGGGTCTTCCCAGATGGGCTGGTGTGCGTGGGTACCAAAGTCCCCTTGCCCTGGCTTATGTGAATGGTGGTGCAGCCGACATGGCCCCTCCTGCCTGGGCCACATGCACCATGCTCACTGATTCCACAGTGAGCCTGGGCTGTGCCTCAGAGAGGATGAGTGAGCCTGTCACAGCCCTCGGGAGAGACACCTGCAGGTTTTCAGAGCACTCGGCCCTGCAGCCCGTGTGTTTGTTGTCCTTAGAAGGCGTGGGTTGACCAGGAGACCACCTGCAGACAGCTGCTGCTCGCAGGGCTGCTACCTGGGTCTCCAGCCCTTTCTGGTCACATGTGCAGAGGCTGTGCCAGCCAGTGACCATGGAGATGGTTGTGGCAGTTGTTCTCCAGGCCCAAGACCTTTAAGCCTCGATTCTTTTTTTTTTTTTTTTGTTTTCACTAAGTCAAGCTTGAAATCTTAAGCAACTGGGAGGCAGAGGGCCTTCTTGGGTTCTCCCCGCACACGGGCCAGGAAGTCCCTGAATGGGCTGCAGGCACCAGACGGTGCTGTGAGGTGCCCTGGGTTTACTGTGTGCATATTCGCCTTACCTGCAGGGTAAGAACAAGCGACTGGAAGATTGTCAGCTGCAGAAATTCAACCTCATAGCTCAGGTGAAACAACTTCAGAAAAAACTAAACCGGCTAGTACACTCCATGGCCTTCCAGGACATGGACATGGGGGGCCCTGAGCCCCAGCAGCCCTCGGCAGTGGCCAGCCTGTCAGAAAACGGCTCCAGTGAGAGTTCCTGCGATGGAGAAGAGGCAGACGCCTCGCCTCCTGTCGATACATTTGCTCTCCCCACGACCCCGTGGGGTCTAATTGGCAATACTAAAGGTCGGGATTCCTTGGTCAGGATGGAAATGCCTGACACAGAGGCACAGGACGAGGCACAGGACGAGCCCCTTTCCTCACGGACCAGTGATCCCAGCGAGTCCTGCCATGCCAAGGAGGCTGAGCCTGAGAAGGACCCTCTAGGGGTGCTGGACCTGTCCTCCTGGAGCTCTCCTGAGGTCCTCCGGAAGGATGCGACCCTGGACCCCCAGCCCAGCTTCCCCCCGACACCCTGCTCAGGCGCTCTGAGCCTGCCCAGTGTCATGGCCTCCCCCCAGCCCGGGGCAGACTCGCTGCTGCAGGCCGACATGTCGGAGCTGCATTGTTACCCGGGCGGCTCAGCAGCAGGACCAGCCCTGCAGTGGGCAGGAGCCCTTCCAGCTGACCACCACCACCACCACCACCACCCCATGGAGAGCACAGCTGCGGTAGGTGCCTCCCTGCTCTGCCCCACTCAGGGTTCCCATGGGGATGTATCACAGCAGCGCCATTGTTGGCTCACCTGCCTGTGCAGGGGCCTTGCGCCTGTGGTGGCAGGACCCCTAGGTCACTCAGGCGTTTCCAACATGAGCTGCCTCAGCAACCTGCCTGGTGTGTCAGCTGATGGCAGCGTCCTGCAGCAGAGTCACAAACCCATCTGCTGGCCTGATTGACATGAGGATTCTTGACCAGAATGGTTTTAGATTTATTTTCAGTAATATTTCACATCTCACAGGTTGTACATGTGCTAGTTAATTTTTTTAAACATTTTTTTCTAGTGGTAGATAGACACAGTACCCTTATTTAGTACTTTTTATGTGGTGCTGGGGATCGAACCCAGGGCCTCACATATGCTAAGCAAGCAAGCGCTCTATCACTGAACCACAACCCCAGCCCTATGCAAGTTAATTTTAAGAACAATGTATCATTTTTTAATTAGATGATGTTTTTCCTGACAACTACTTTGGGATTTTTGTATCTTAAGTTAAAATAAAGATAATTTGGGGGATATGTGTTATCTGAAGTATCCATATACTATCATTTCACACAAAAAATTAAAAATCTGAAATATTTGCTAGAGACTACTGAAGTACCATAGGCACGTTTGAGTCAGTAGTGGATCCTGGGGCCCAGTGGGCTCCCATTCTGAATGCTGGCACATGCTGTTTGATTGGGAACATGGCAATTCTGGCCCTAGAAGCTTCCATCCAAGCCAGGTGTGGGGCCCACACCTGTGATTGCTGCTGCTTGGGAGGCTGACAGGAGGATGGTGCCAGCCTGGGCGACTTAGCGAGACCCTGCCTCTCCACAGAACTTCACCAGGGCTGGGGATGCAGCTCAGAGGAGGCACTGGCCTCGGTGGGTGTGAGGGGATTAGAGGCCCAGAGGAGGTCGGCTGGTGAGTGGAGCAGTGCAGCTGCTGCTCTGTAGCTTCTCAGAGTCTGTCTGTCTGTCTGCAGGAGAAGGACGTCGAGGACTTTATCGCAACTGCTTCTAATTCTCAAGACACACGAAGATCGTCTCCTCTGGGGTTGGCAGGGGACTGTGACGGAAGTGAACACAGTGAGTCTTGGCTTGCTTTGCTCTCCYTCTTAGAGGGAGTAGGGCTCAGGCATACCCCAGGCCGCCCATCCTCACACCCCTGGCCACTGGTGAGCTACAGACCTGCTGCTGGCTGCACTCTGCACCGGCAGTGCATCTCTTAGATAGCTYCATGCCTCACTCGGCATTAGAGCTGGCCCCTTGACCTTGCTGATGTCCTGGTGGCAGCCCCCGCAGGCGGGCAGACATGGGGAGGTCAGCTAGGGCAGAGCAGCCAGCACCACTGGCTCTGCCTCCTGAAGCTGGGGAAGGGCAGTGGTGCGGCTCTGAGCTGCTCCTTGGCACACCTGTGTCCGGCTGTTCCCAGGGTGTATGGGCTGCTGTGTCCTCCTGGGTCTTCACCGCAGGAACCCTGGGCTGTGGGGCAGTCGCCAGGTTTTCCTTGTGCTTCCCAGGGTGGGGTCCTGTGGGAGGGCTGCAGACTTCAATCCCCAGATTGGGCCCTCGCACACTGGCCTCAGCACTGTGGCTGCCAAACGTCTTCATCTGACTTGACAGTTTCTCCTGTAAGGGTGTCTCTCTTCAAGTTAGCCATCAAGGTTTTGTTTTTTGGTTTTTTGATTCATCATTGCCTCTTCCATTGGTTTTTGAGAATGAGATCCTGGTGAAATATAGTTCATTGGGAATTTAGCACTTGCTGAATGCTAATGAAGTAGCTTTTTGCTGTTGCTGTCCTGTCTGCCCTGACTTTGGGTCCCTGTTCTCTGGGGACGCTCGACATTCTACTCTGGGAACAAACGTTTGCTTGTTTCTAGTCACCTTTGCCACTTCACATGACATTCATAGCAGTGGTGCAGTCTTGCCCAGCTCTGAGTGCCTGTGCCAGTGTCCCTGCCGAGTGTCCCTAGCATACATTTCCTCTATTCCTGTTCTGCCGCACACCCGCTGCTGGGCCACCCACGTGCCTCAGCTGTGTGTCCCCTGAGCCCCCGAGCACCTCTAATGCCTGGCCAGCCCCTTCCTTCCTTAATGGTGTTGTGCTGGAATGAAGCAGCTTCCCAGAGCTCTGGGAGCGTGTGCTGGGAGGCTTCTTGAGACTCTCTGTCCCTGTGTCTGTCTCATTGGAGTTTGCCTTGGTTCAGACTCCTGGGTTGGGAGTCATGTGTGCTTGGACTTGGAATGCTACCCACTCTGTCCTGCAGCTCCACACACCCTCAGTGACACCAGGGACCTACAGGGCTGCCTAGTTGGGACGGCATGCAGCTGCTAGCCTCAAGAGCTTCCTCTTATTCCTTCTAATCATTTATCCTGTGGCCTTCTCTCTTCTTTCTGTAGCTTTTGCAAATGAAGCATTAGACCCCCCTGCTCTGATTTTCTGATTTCTTTAATTTAGTTTTTCTCCTTGTCCTCGTCTCCACATTTTTGTGGAGTTTCTTAACTTTGGTGCTAGTGTGTCTCTGTTCTCCCACTTTGGATTCCTGAGAGGCCGGTCTGGGTGCTCCGTCCTGTACCCTTGTGTCTTGGCCTTGTAGCAGCAGGCCTCGTCTTGTTTCCCTGGAGGTGGTAGCTGCTTTTCCTGCATTGTCTTCTGTTGGCTGCACATCCAGTTTCTTCCCAGCATGCTCTTTTCTGGGTCTGAGGACCTGGACTGGCCCATCTTCCAATGAGGCCTTGTCTCTGGACGTCTCACTTTCTGCTGGGGTCTGGAACTGGGTGCTCTGAAGGTGCCACCTCCTCACTGCCCTGCCTGCCGGGGGCCTGAGGATCAGATGGGGCTGCACGCCTGGGAAGGTTCCAAGCCCCCTCCTGTCAGAGGACCTGGGGCCCTGTCTCAGCTATGTTTGGGCACTCTCATCAGGCATGCGGGCCTTTTCCGGACCACGTGTCTGCTGCCTGCCCAGCTGCTGCCCGCTCGCCTCTGTTCCCTGCCACTCTTGCTCCCTTCCTTGAGCCTGTAGAGCACAGGCTCATGTGTGCAGCCGCTAGCGTGCCGGCTTGGGGAGGTTGTCAGCTCAGTGAGGGGTGCATGCCCTCTATGCTTAGGAGCGCGGTGTCCCCAAGGCTTTCCTCCAGGCGTGCAGGGTGGCCTTCCCTGACCTGATGAGGTTTCTACTGCCTTGCCTGGTGCTCCTCAGCTCTCCTCCACTCATGGAGCTGTGGTGCAGCTGGAGGTGGGCTCTGTGGCCCGATCTCACCATGTGGTGCTCTAGGTGGCAGCCTGGGCTTTGGAATGATGCTGAGCCCAGAATTGGGAAGACCCGAGGTCCCCACTGCTGGTCCTGCGACTCCTGCTCTCATCTCCAGAGGGTCACAACAACCACCCGGAGTGATGAAGGAGAAGGAGGTCCACCCCCTGCACATGAAGGTAGGGACCAGCACTTCGTGGGGGTCAAGTGCATGTGTGTTAGTCCTAAGAGACAGGGAGAGTCCTCTTCTTGCATTTATTTATCATTGTTTGTGGCTGATTGGGTGGAAATGATAGTGTGTGTTTGGTTTGGTTTTGGAGGCAGATCTCTGGTGGAATTCAGGTATAATTCCCAAATTTTAAGGAGTAAATTAGGTTGTTAATGAAAATTCTTCATACTTAAGTTTAGTAATTAACAAAAAAAAGCAAGAACTTCAGGGAAGTCTTGAGGGAGCCATCAAGAGGCTGCAGTGAGGCCAAGGGCTATGGTTATTTGAGTCAGAACTTAAAGCCTAAATGTGATTCTTGTAGATTTCTTAAATTGCTCCAAGTGCATTGTCTCCCTGGGTTGTTTTAGATGCCTTCTGGAGTGTAGAGTACCAGGGCCATGCTATGTGTAGGTGAGGGCCACGGGGCAGCCCCAGGGGCGACGCTCCTGCCTGGGTGCCACAGTGCATCGTGGGAGCACGCCTGCCACCTTGGGTGGTCTCCCTGTGTGGTTCCTGTGTCCGTTGCATGTCCCCCGTAGTCCCTGTGCTCCCTGGGGTAGCCCCTTTGGGTGGTCACTTGTGGTCGCTATTAGAGTAGCTCTACCCCAAGAGGCTGTGGAAGGCTGGGCTTGCGATGGGAGATCCCCAGAGAGCCCTTGAATGCAGGGTGGATAAGCAGCCTGAGGTGAGGCGACACCAGGAAGAGCTGTGGCTTAGGGAAGCCAGTGAGGACCTCTGGACAGGGTGGCAGGCCACATGCAGGTGGGACACACTTGGAGGTTTCTCCTCGACAGAACCCCAGGGCCCGAGAGCAGAGGCTTGGCTCCCGGAAGCCGTGGTGATAGAGCCCTGGGCCGAGCCACCAGCGTCCCGGTGCTGTTGGTGCGCCACTACCTGGGCCTGGGCCTTGTCCATGTGGAGAAGGCTTTCTCACAGAAAACCCAGGGCTGCAGAGACACAGCCCTCCCTGGCTGGGAAGCTGTACCTAGAGGGCTGTGGGTTGTGAGTTTTCTGTCCAAGGGGTGCTTTTAAAACATGTTTCTTTTTGTTACAAAATCCAGAAATGGCGTACTTACAAAGTAGAAAGGGGCCCGCTGTCTGTAGCCAGGGAAACTGTCTCTGGGCCCTGTGTGGATGGAGGTGGTGGGTGGGTTCTGCCTCCCAGTGGCACCCACCTGGCCCACCCTTCCTCCGGGCAGGGCCTCGGTGTGCACCTACTTAGCATCGGAGACAGTGTGTTTCTTCTCCCTCATGCGTCCAGAAACGTTGTTTTAAAGTTGTCTTTCACGTCAGCCCGGTGGGTTTCCAGCCCATGTCAGTCATCCTGTCTTGGTCGTGTCCTTAGCATCGCGGCCGGCTCTGCTGTGGGTGGCCGGGTCGCACTCACCGCTCAGCGTCTTAGTGTTGCTCTTCCCCACTTGGCACTCCTGTGGTTTGCCCAGACGCAGTGGTGTGGGGAAGCCACGGATGCTCCCCTGGCAGCCTGGCTACGCACTTGGGCCCTGGAGCAGCTTCCTCAAAGTGTCTCAGAGCTGGGGAGGTGCTGGGCCCCAGCTTGGAGGGAAGATGGTGTTCCTGGGAGGAAGGAGAGAGGGAGCAGGTGTCCTCCAGCAGCTGGGAAGGGAAGTCTGAAGCCCGTGGTGARGACAGCTGGTGGCTATCTGTGTGCTGCCTTAGCGGGCACCACCACTGTGCAGGCAGCGTCCTCCTGCCCTGCAGCGCACTCTGGATGGTGGCTGCGTGTGGCAGTGGCTGCGGGCCGTTTCCCCTTCCTCATGTGTTTTCCCCTGCAGGCTTTGCTGCAGATGGTGTGTGACGAGAGCCACCAGATCCTGGCGTTATCGGAGAGCCGAGGCCTCCCCAGCACTCTGAGCAAGGGTGAGCCCTGGGCCTCCCTGGATTACTTCTCCGGTGAGGGACAGGGCCTGCTGGAGGGGGCCCCAGAGAGAGGAGAGAAGGTATGGAATCGCTGGCTCAGTGAGGGAGAAATACAGGGGTCTGTTTTTTCTTTTCTTTTTTTTTTTTTTTTTTGGTTCGGGGGGTGCTGGGGATAGAACCCAGGGCCTTGGGCACGCTGGGCAAGTGCTCTGCCACTAGCCCCACTCTGTCCCCAGAAAGATCCGATTTTACTTGCATCTCACATCTGTTTTTCAAAGGACCTTGAGGACTTAGAGTGACAGCCAGGTCTGAGGGGAGCTGTGCACAGACATGGGGGTTATGTCGCACGGCTAGGACAGGTGAACACCCCCGTACGGCACCCCTGCACAGCCGTGCACGCCCCTAGCTGATGAGCTCTGGAAGTGGGAGGATCAGTGGAAGGCAGGCGGGGCTCTGGGGAGGCAGGACCAAGGAAGCCCAGCTGGTCACATGGCTCTGAGATCTCTAGGCATATCTGGGCCTGCCATGGGACAGGCAGACTGACCCATTGGTCCTTACCACCCTCACCCTGCACTGCTATATCCCAGGCTGTCGCCTGGACCTGGCCCCTCCCAGTGCCCAGGGACTGCCTCAGCACACAGAATGGATGCCAAGACCCTTCTGAGTTTCATACCAGGCCCCACACTTCCCTCCCCATGCTCCATCCTCATCGTGATGTCTCTTGCTCTCAGTCCCCGACTCCTGCTTTTCCCACTGGATGAAAGGGCCACAAGGGAGGGAAGAGCCACGTCCTGGTGCTGGGAGCTGCTGGTGCCCATGGATGTGCCGCCTGCCCGGCCCCACTAACGGCCCTTGGTAGGCCTGGATAGCATGTGCAGACTCTACCCTCCCACAGGTGCCTGGGGAACTGCTTATACTTGGCTCATGCTACCCTGTCCTCGAGCAGCAGTGTGCCCACTCCTGGCCATGGCCCCTGGAGGCTGCCAGGTGCCAGCAGGGTAGCCATAACAGTCTTGGCCTTCTCTAGACCAGGCCCTGAGGGTGCAGCAGCCCAAGAGGAGAGCAATGTGTGAGCATTTCGCGCGGTCTTACTTCACTGTTTCTGCTTATGACAGTAATTCGCATCTGGCACTGAGTGACCCTGGGCCCTCGTGGTCTCCTTTCCTTGTCAGAGTGTTTTTTCTTGCCCTCCTCCTGCCCAGCTGCCATAGTAGAACCACAGACTGGGGCTTAAACAACAGACGTTCATTTCTGACGCTCTGGAGACTGGAGGCTGGGATCAGGAGCCAGCACAGCTGGGCTCTGGTGAGGTCTGACTCCTGGTTTGCAGATGGCTCCTCTTTGCTGGGTCCTCAATGGTAGAGAGAGAGAGAGCACTCGTTATCTCATCCTCTTCTTAGAAACAAAGCCACAGTCCTGTTGGAGCAGGGCCCCACCCCTGGCCCCACTCAACTTTATTGAGGCCATGCCTCCAAGTGCGGTCACAGCGGGGCTGGGGGTCCAGCATATGTGTGGGAGAGCACTCATAGCACCCACTGGTGAGAGCATGGAGGCTTTTTCTGCTGGGCTGAGGACAGAAGCTGGGGTCTCAGGCAATGATTGGCCATCACTCTGCCACTCCCAGCCCAGCATGGGACTTTGCTTCTCCTTGACAGGAGTCTTCTGATATGCATCTCGACTGGAGGGGCCGGTTTCTGCAGGCCATGCAAGAGGCATTGGAGAGGGAGCGGGAGAAACTGAAGGCGGAACTGCAGTCAAGGCCCAGCGGCCCAGACCCAGTGGACTACAGCTTCCTGTTTGAGCGGCTGGAGAAGGTTGTGCGAGAGCAGGTGAGCAGCAGCCCTGCACCTGCACCCTTTCAGTCCAGGCCCCTGGCTCTGTTAGAGGCAGTGGAGCGTGTGTGCTTTCACTCCTGAGCTCTGGCCAGCACCCCTGCTTCTTCCTGAACCTCACTCTCCTGGCACACCAGCCTCCGGGCTGCCCAGCACTCTGCACGTGGGGCCAGAGGACGAGGATGCTACAGGGCACCAGAGCCTGCTGCACCGCTGTGCCTGATAGGCGAGGGGTGCTGAGGGTCAGGGGCCAATGCTCCACCTGGGCCTAGAGCCGTGGGGGTGCTGGGGCCCATGCACCCACCACACTCCTGGGGTCCGTAGCCTGTCCCAACAGTGCTGGAAGCTTAAGCTTGCAAGGGTGGGCTGCAGAGGGACAAGTATACACAAATTCTGCCTCCTTCCCTAGCGCCTGCCAGTCCTGTGCCTCACACCATGCCTCTTCTCTCATAGGGAGACCTGCAGGAGAAGGCTCAGAAGCACCAGCGCCTGCAGGACAGGAGTAGCCTGCTGTCTGAGGTCCAGGCCCTGCGTGCCCAGCTGCGTCTGACTCACCTGCAGAACCAGGAGAAGCTGCAGCAGCTGTGTGCGGCGCTGACCAGTGCAGAGGCCCGTGGGAGCCAGCGGGAGCACCAGCTGCGCAGGCAGGGTGGGTGTCACTGCTCTTGCTGCCTTGTGCCTCCAACCTCACGGCCCCCACTGGGTGTGCTCCTGTGGGGTACGGGACAGTGGCAGCTAGGCCCTCAGCCAGAGTGCTGGGGTCTCATGGGACACCCAGGCTGCAGAACCCTGCTCCTGTGAGCGTGTGGGAGGCCTTGGGAGTGTTATGTGTTTCCACTTTCAATTTAAGTTCTTTGGCAGTTTTCTGTAGTTGCTTACATCAGCTGTGAGTAAGTGATGCTTTTGGTTCTTTCCCCACTTGCTTTCTGGCCTTTGTGCAAGTCAGACCTGGGTAAATGTCCGTTCTTGTACTGGTCACTCCTTAGTGTGAGGAGCATTCTGCAGATGGCCTTGTGCTGGGTTCTGCCCAGTTGTGCATTCTAGGCTGTACTTGCTCTCGTCCTGTGTCTGCAAGGGCCCTGGTCTGTGGTTTTTCTCTCTCATGTACCCTTTTCTGGCTTTGGTGCATAGAAAGCACTGACCTCATGGATGGGTGGGGCATGTCTCCTCCTCCTCTTATCCAGAGGAGTCTGTGCGGAGCTGGGTGATCTCTTCCATTGGTTCCAGGAGATTCTCCTGCAAAGCCACGCAGGTTTGTCCCTGCGGGCGTATGTGGCAGGACTGGCTGGCCCTGTGGGATGGCCTGGAGGGCACGTCGTTACTTCTGGAGAGCCCACCTAGGAGGGATGGACTCAGGCCGAGGGAGTGCGTCCCCGCCACCCGTTCAGCAGTTCTCTGACTCAGCCCTGCTCGCACACGCTTGGCACTCTTTTTGAGTAACGCTCTCTTGTGTTTTGATCTCTCTCAGTTGAGCTGTTGGCCTACAAGGTTGAGCAGGAAAAGTGCATAGCAAGTGACTTGCAGAGAACCCTGAGCAAAGAGCAGGAGACGGCAAGTGATGTCCGCAGACTCCTAGCACTGGAGCAGAGCGCAGCACAGGACTTGAAGTCGGAGAACGCGAGGCTGCTGGAGTCCCTTGATGAGGTGCAGCGGGAGTCCCTCCAGCTGAGGTATGCCCCAACAGCCCCCTCTGTTGACTGTCAGCTGGGTCACAGGTCACCTCAGCCCCATCTGCTGCGGGGCTTACAGAGAACCCTTGGGCTTGGGTCTGGGAGTGAGGGATGGAGTCCCACAGATGAGCGGGAGTGGCAGGCTGCTTCCCGTCAGCATTCCTGATGTGCACACAGTGCCCCCGGCTGTCGCCTTATAGGTCTCTGCTGGACGGGAAGGAGAGTGACCTGAAGGCTGCACTGGAGGAACTGGAGTGTGAGCGTGGGAAGGAGCGTGTCCTCCAGGCCCAGCAGGAGGAGCAGCAGCTGCAGCACCTGCAGAGGGAGGGCCAGAGTGCCAAGGCCCTGGAGGTAACTGGGCAACAGGGGCGCCCAGGCTTCCAGCCAGTGAGGGAGGTCAGGAGCAGGATGCAGAGACAACCCCCACCGTCACCCCTGCCGCCTGCCTGGCTCTCCTTCCCAGCAGTGTGCCCAGTTGGTGGGAGCTTGAGGCAGTGAGAGCGGGCTGCGTCTTTAGGCACAGTTCGACTCTGCGGTGACAGAACCACTGCACTGGGGAGGGGCAGCCTGTGAAGGCACATGGCTCTGCTCAGTGGTCCCTGCTGTCCCTGAGTGTTCGTCTCTGGAAGGTGGGCGAGTCTTCTCTCTGACTGTCCACGCAGCCTGCGTGGTCTCTGCATGGCCCAGATCATTGGTGGGAATGCAGCTTCTTTGTCCTGTGTAGGCCTAACCAGTGACCTCTTGCTCAGAGCGGGTTCTCTGTCAGCTCTGTGGGTCAGGGGCCTGCCTTTCAGAATCCTGGTTCACAGTACGCAGCACATGTGTGTCTTTGGGCCCTGGGTTTCGTGGTTTTCTGAGGACAGAAGAGGGGTCTCCTGAGTGTGGGCGGGTATGTGTGTTGACGCGAGGCCACTTCCACGCCTGTCGCAGACGACAGAAGCAAGATTTCCTGTGTGTACAAACTTGGAAAGGCCCAACCGCTGGGTCACAGCTCATGAACAGATGCTAGGCAGGGAAAATTACTTAGATGCTTTTCCTCACAATTATTTACTTTTCCCCATCTTGTTTTTTCACCAATGCAGGAGTTAAAAATATCTTTGGAGAAGCAACATGCTCAAAATAATCAGCTGTGTATTGCATTGAAACATGAGCGGATGGCCAAGGACAACCTGCAGCAGGAGCTGCAAATTGAGCACTCGCGCTGTGAAGCCTTGCTGGCCCAGGAGCGCAGCCAGCTATCCCAGCTCCAGGAGAGCCTAGAGGCAGAGAGGAGCCGCTCCCGGGAGCTGTCGGAGGCCTTGCAGCATGAGCGGGTCCTGACGGAGCAGCTGAGCCGCAGCACGCAGGAGAAACCTATGCAGCACACCCTGCTGCGGAAGCTGAAGGAGGAGAAGGCCCGCGTGCAGGAGCTCCAGGCCGTGCTGGCCAGGGTGCAGCAGCAGGCCCTGCACACCCAGCAGCAGCTGGAGGCCCAGGCCCAGGAGCACCGTGTGCAGCTCCAGAAGCAGCAGGAGGTAAGTGCCACCTTGAGGTTGGCGGTGGACACGCTGCAGACCCAGAGCCAGGAGCTGAGATGCTGCCTGGAGAGCAGCAGGGAGAAGCCAGCTTGGCCGCAGGCAGAATTAGAGCAGTTACACACACGAGGGAGAGTGCACGAAGCCCGCAAGGAAGCCAGGAGGAGGATGCCGAGGCCCAGCCAGGCAGACGCCGAGGAGTGGAAGAAGTGGCAGAGAGACAAGGAGAAGCTGGTGAGAGCCGTCTGCGGCCGTTCGTGAGTTCTTAGAAAACCTGAGCAGTGAAGGGTAGGACAGTCCTCAAGGGGCTCATCCTGGGCCTTTGTCCTCTGTCCTCGGGTTCGAGTGTCCTCTTGCCAGCACCTCATCCTGCAACTTCCTCCAACCTGGCAGAGAACTTTGAAATTGGGAAGCGTGATTCCTTCAGCGAATCTCCTTTTCAAGATGTTTTTGGCCATTTGGGCTCCTTGCAATTCCATGTGACTGAAGTTTGAGTTTCATTTCTGCACAAAGGCCATGGGGTTACAATAGGGATTGCATTCAGTCTGTGGGTTGCTTGTGTAGTGCTGACGTTTTAACAAGAAACGGCCTTCTGGCTGGGTATGGTTTGGCCACACCTGTGACCCCAGAGGCTTGGGAGGCTGAGACAGGAGGATCCAAAGTTCAGGGCGAGCCTTGGCAACTTAGGCAGACCCTGTCTCAAAGTAAAATAAGGGCTGAGGATATGTCCTGGAGGTAGAACCATTTCCTTGGTTGTGGTAAGCCCTAGGTTCAATCTGCAGGGCTGCAAAAAACGGGGAGAAAAAGCCGAGCCTTCTGAAGCTCCAGTGTGGACCGTCCTCTGGTCAGGCAGCCTCGCAGCAGTCTTTGGTAGCTCTCCCCAGTGTTTGGAAGCTCTTGTCTGTGTTTTTTCAGGGTCAGTTGAGATCTGTGGCTCTGGTCCTTTTCCCTGATGGTGTGTACGTGCCAAGTGTTTGGCCTCCATCTGAGATGCCCTCTCGTCCCTGGCATGAGCCCCATGTGGTCATGGCAGACCCTTCTTGCTGCAGGCTTCTGAGTTTGTTTTGCAGGTGTTCTGATGGGAATTTCTGAGCTGTGTTATAAGGGTTCCTGGATGTAGTTTCCTTGTGATGTCTTTGAAATCCCAGTGTCCTCAGGGGACAGGTTCAGAAGTGTTCTCTTGTGGGTTTTGAAGGCTTTTAATATTTAGATATATTTTATGTCAACTCAAGGCTTTTTAAACAGTATCTTCACTGCTTGCTTTTGTATTTTATGAAATTATGAAAGAGTGTGTGTGTGATTAACACACAGGTAAAACCAATGGCCTGGTCCTTCCAAGGGTTTGCCTGCCATGAAGTAGGAAAGGGACATCTGCTTCCTAAAGTGAAACTCTGGGTTTCTAAACGTTTCAAGGATAAACAGATCCTAAAGTGATATGATGATGGTTGTAGGAGTTCCTATCAGAAGGGTGCTTGGTGTGCCCAGCAGCTTCGTGAGATAGAATTCGGGTACCAATGGGTTCTTCCACTTTAGTCGCATGGTTTGGTGGTTGAGGGTTGATCCCAGCAGTGTTTGGGAGCTTCTCTCCACCCAGGCCAAGGCTGTGTTGGCTCAGCTCCCTCACACACAGCCCCGGGACGCCTGGCCTGCCTGTTGCTGTGGCCCTGCCTCTGCAGGGTTCTCCTGTGCATGGAGTCCCACGAGATGTGATCTACTGCCATCAAGGCTCTTGTGGACGCATTTCCCACATGTCAGTGGCACTTAATATATTTTTTTTTCTGTTTAAAAAATTTCCTAAATGATTGTGTTTTATCACCAACCACATGGAAAGAAGCAAGAATGTTGTGGAGGTGTAGACATCGGGTAGTGCCGCCAGCAGGGTCCTGGGCCACTATGTGTGCACTGATGTCCCTAGCGTGCCGGCTGGCACCTGGGAAGTGACTGTCTGACCATTGTGGTGCTGCAGGGTCTCTGCCCCTCGCTGCCAGAGGTCCCAGGCCACACCCATTCCATTCGGGTGTTTCATGAAGTGAGCAGCGCCACGATTCTGCATAAAAGCCAAGGAGGCCTCTCCTTGGGCTCCGACTGCCCAGACGTGTGTGCAGTGGGGACAGACCCTTGGAGTTTTCCTGCAGCTTCAGTGAACCTGAAGTTCAGAGCCCTGTTCTGGGTGTACTTAACTGAGTCTCCTGTGTGGTCATAAATTTTACTTTCCTCACATGGAAAATGGGTAAAATCACCTCTTCTGTCACCCCTGTGGCTGGAGCACTGAGTGGACATCAGAAGGGGAGCCCCTGCACCAGCCCAACCCTGCAAGCTGTGTGGCTCAGGCCTGGGCTGGGCTCTTCTCCAGCAGTCTCAGTCTCGGCTCTTCCTGTCCATGTTTTTGATTCTTGTGAGGAGACCTGTCTGTGTCATGAGTGTCCCTCTGCCCTTTCTGAGGTGCCTGGTCTTGCCCTGTGGGGTCAGGGTACTCCGCAAGGTGCTCCAGTGTGTGTGGAGGTGTTCCTCCTGCACCTCTGGGACCTGGGGGTGCTGGGCAGATTAACTCACCAAGAGGGCAGGTGGTTGCTCGGTGAGGTGAGGCTTTGGGACCAGAGGACCACCATGGACCTGGCCCAGGGCTGCAGTGTGTGCAGGCGCAGGCCTGTCCATGTCTGTGTGAGGGTGTGTTGTGTGTGAAGCTTGTCCTGCCTGAGTCTGCGCCACAGGCTCCTCTCCAGCAGGCCTCGAGGGCTCGCCTGGCTCTGGTGTCAGCCCTGTGGCCTTCAGGAGTGAAGATGGGCTCCAGGGTGTGGCCTGGGCCTGTGCAGGGTGGAGGGTGCTAAGGACGGGTGGGCCAGACCCCAGTGAGGCCCAGCCACAGGCCCAGCCCTTGTCTTGGAAACTCACCTCAGGTCTTCTCTGTTTCTGGCCCTTGCCGGCAGCGGGAGCTGCAACTGCAGCGCCAGAGGGACGCGCACAAGATGGAGCAGCTGCAGCAGGTGGTGCGAGGGCTGCGCGCCGCCGAGGAGGAGGAGGAGGAGGAGGAGGAGGCGCCCCAGGGTGATGGCCCCCGCCCAGGCTCCCTGGAGTTGGACCTCCTGCAGGGCCAGCGGCAGGAGCTGGAGAGGATTCGCCAGCAGCTGCTCTGTGCTGCTGGACTCTTGGCCAGCTTCGTCAGCCGCACTGTGGACAGGTGACTCCCTGCACAGCGCCCGCACCTGCCACTCGCCCTAGGTGCTGGGAGCAATCAGGCTCTGAGCTCTTGGTGGTGGTGGGCTCACCCTTGTTCCCTTCCCAAGTCAGTGGGCAGGGCTTCCCCGAAAGACCCGATGAAACCCTGTCTTCTGCCTTCTCATATCGGAGGAAAACCCTGTGACGCGCCGGGCATCTGACCAGGCTTCCGAGTTCCACACAGATGTGTGTTCTCCACACTACCTGGAGAGCCCTGGGCACCCCTGCCCTGCTCGTGCAGGGTTGCGGTGCTGTGCTGCATCGCCCCAGGCCTCCAGGGCCACCACTCAGACAACTGAGGCCAGACTCAGTGCCAGGAAGCTGTGCGGAGAAAGTTCTGTGTGGACTGGGGTCGGGGGAGCGGGGCGCTCCCGTACACAATCAGCTAGTCGAGTTCTCCTGACTAGTAGGGTTCAGTGTACAGAGCAACATAATTTCTAAGCAGTTTCATTTAGGACAGGATTTTTTAAAATACATTTTTAGCTGTAGATGCACATGTTACCTTTATTTTATTGATTTTTAAAAAATATATATTTTTTTTTAGTTGTAGTTGGACAAAATACCTTCATTTTGTTCATTTTTTATGTGGTGCTGAGGATCGAACCCAGGGCCTTGCATGTGCTAGACAAGCACGCTACTGCTGAGCCACAACTCCTGCCCTGTTTTATTGATTTATTTTTATGTGATGCTGAGGACTGAACCCAGTGCCCTACATGTGCCAGGCAAGCGCTAGACCACCGAGCCATACTCCTAGCCTCTCGGTCAGAATTTTTAACAATTGGCCCAGAAGTCCAGCAGAAAGCAGAGGCGTGTGGGCACCTGGGCACTGCCTGGTACTCAGTGATGTGGGGCTGGAGATTTTGTGCCTCTCAGACATGTCCACCTGCCGGCCCTGCCAACCTGCCTGGGACTGTGCCCCTCTACCACCCTGGAAGAGGGTTTCTCAGCCCCCAAGTCATGGAGAGGTGGCCGGAGCGGGTGATAGCTGATTATCATGCCCGAGGGCGGCCAAGCATCGCAGTTACTGGGTGTGGGTGTGGGCTGAGGGTGATGGCTGCTGCACTTTCCTTGCCTCTCTTCACGCGGGAGTCCTTGGGTAGCCAGGAGGAGAGCACATGAGRTACTTGTGGCCCTTGTGAATGCCCTTTCACCTTTACAGGACGATTCACGACTGGACTGTATCCAACGAGAAGGCAGTGTCATCTTTAGTGCAGACTTTACAGGGGCTGAAGTCTGAACTAAGCACGCCCACCTCCTCCCAGGTACCCTGCGCCCTCAGCCCTGACCTAAGGGCCAAGGTTCTCCAGAGGGTGTCGTGGCAGCACTCTGGGTTCTTTTGTGGGTTGTTGGTGGTTCCTCTCTCCCTTGCTGTTGGGGCTTTGCCATCTGGGTCCTGCCCCACGTGACCTCATGCAGTGCCTCTACTTTGGCCATATTGTAGAGTCCTCGGGGCTTGGCCATGCAGTCCAGTGAAGGCTGCATGGTCTCTGAACCCCTCTGTGCAGGTGTGCTCTCTGCGGGGCCTGAGCTGGCCCTGGAGTGGCTGGTCTGCCAGGGCATGGGCTTCTCCACTTCCTGGATGCTCAGCCCACTCACTGTTTCTAAGGCCACAGCAAAAAATGAAACCCAATTCCTCCTGGAAAGTTCTGTGCCCTATGTGCAGTCTTTGGAAAAATCGCTGGCTGCTGACATGGTCTCTGACAAGTGTGTGATGTTTATGAAATCAGAAGTGTCTTGTGGCCAGGTGCTGTGTCTGTTATCCCAGCCATGTGGTAGGCTGGCCTCCATTAGCAGACCCTGTCTCAAAGTAGATGAAAGGGGCTGGTGTGGCCCAGTGGCAGAGGGCCCTGGGCTCACCCCCCAGAGTGTTGTGCAGCACTGCCTGCTGTCAGGAGGCTGCCACTACCCCCMCACGTCCTGGGGCAGCCACTGGTGAGCTCTGCTACGTGCCCTGTGATTTGGGAGGTAACGGGCCTATCTTACAGGACTTGCACATTGACCCCAAGTATGAGCACAGTACTCCTTGTCACCTCTTTGAGTGCCACCTCTGTTTGTGGTGCTCCTAGAACAGTAGGAGAGGTGACTGTAACAGGCCTGTGTTACTCATGCTGTCCAGTGTTGTGAAAGTTTGCTTCCTTGAGGAGGAAAAGATGGGAGTAGAAGAGTTGGTGTTTCCTGCCTGGTAAAGGGTTAGCGGCACCCAGCTGCACAGCTTCCTGTCAGACTCCCAGCTTTGACCTGTAACCCCGAAGACAGCCAGCGGCAGCAGAACCACGTGCATGCTCTCTTTATTTCCTCCTTTTAAGAAGAAAACGGCAGCAAAGCTCCAAGTCCAGCTGGTGGACCTGCTGCTACAGGACAACAACACGCTCACCAGTGCCCTCAGCACAGCGGCCCGGGAGGAGGCGGAGCTGCGCAGGGTAGTGTCCCGGCTGGAGAGGACCTTGAAGCACCACGCGCAGAAGGGCTGTGTCCTGAGCGTAGGTGTCCMCCCCAGACCTGTGTCTTTGTCCTTCCTGTCCTGGGTGGTGGTTTGAGACTGCGTTGGGCTCTGCTGCCTAGGCTGGTCTCTACCTCCTGCCCTGGCCTCCTGAGCACCCAGTGTTATCTGTAAGAAGCCACCACACAGTGCTTGAGGGGAGCAGGGGTGTACCGGGGTGTACCGTCCATGGTCAGTGCAGCCTCAGTTGCACCCTGGGCTCAGGGAGACCCATGCACAGCTCCCGCCCATCCATGCTGGGCCTCCCCTACAGAAGTCCTGGGAGAAGCCAGGTGTTGGCACACGACCTTCTCCCCTGGGGTGAGGCCTGGCCACTATCTCCTGCCTCAGTTTGCTCTTAGTCATCCTTCTCAAGGTGTTCTTACTGAAAAACAGCTCCAGCCTCTCAGGGGGCTTGAGACTTGGCAACTTAGTGAGACCTTGCCTCAAACGTAAAAAGAAAAACAGGGTGGGAATGTAGCTCGGGGGTGGAGCACCAAGCATTCAATCCCCAGTACTGCAGAAATAAAAAGAAGAGCTTTGTAGAGGGTCCAGGCTGTGGTTCGTTACAGAGGTCGGGCAGGTCTGCCTGGAAGCACGACAGGACAGTTCCACGGTACTCAGACCCTGGTCGGCCCACACTGGATGCCAGCGAGGAAGCAAATATCTCCAGTGTCAAAGTAAGATTAAGCCCATTTGGGTGTTGGGGTATAGAGGAAGGCCAAGCCCATGTGGGTACTGGGGCACAGAGTAAGACCAAGCCTACCTGGGTGTTGGGGCACAGAGTAAGACCCAGCCCGCCTGGGTGCTGGGGCACAGAGTAAGACCAAGCACACCTGGGTGCTGGGGCATAGAATGAGACCATGTCCCTGTGGGAATCAGGGTACAGGGTGTTGTGGCACTTTTAGATCATGTGTTGGTCAGTGGTCAGCTGCAGACAAATGCAGGGACACAGCATGCAAGTCTCATCTGCTGTGTGTGGCTATCGGCACGTCCACAAAATGCACACCCTTATAGGAGGGGGGCACCAGCTGTGGGCTGGCTCTGAGGAAAAGCTGCTTATCAGTGTGGGCACAGAGCTCTGTGTGCAGCCCCTGGTTCCCTGCAGTTGTCCGCCAGGTTGTCCGCAGACCCATGGTGAACCCCCGCCTTGCCCAGTTTGGCCCTTACGTAGGTGGGAGTTCCAGGGTCCTTCATGGGGACTCAGCTGCTGGTGCTGTGAGGGGCGGTGTGCCCAGGTTTTGTCTGGTAGGCAGGTTGATGGAGCACCACGGGGTGTCTAGGACTGACTTCATGAGAGTTTGCTGAGGAGATGAGTCTGGTCCTGTGTGAGGAGCCATGGAGGGCTGCATGAGGGGCAGCAGGTCTCTGTGCTGCTTGTGAAGGAGCCTGCTGTGTTTTTCCTTCAGATGGAGAAGTTGTACCTGCATTATTTGAGAGCAGAGAGCTTCAGAAAAGCTCTGATTTATCAGAAGAAATATCTGTTACTGTTGATCGGCGGGTTCCAGGATTCAGAGCAGGAGACACTCTCCATGATTGCTCACTTGGGGGTGTTCCCTTCCAAAGCAGATAAGAAGGGAGCCTCATCTCGTCCTTTCACGAGGTTCCGCACCGCTGTCAGGGTGGTCATCGCGGTTCTCAGGTAAGCCCGCCCTACATGTGCTACTAGGTGGAATGTGGCAGTGTTTTCTCAGGAGAGGGGTGGCCTGGAGGCCTCAGATGAAGGACGCTGGTCTTCACAGTGTGGTGTTGAGTGTGGCTGTGCCTCTGCAGCAGGGAGGCTGAAAGGCGGTACTTCCCACCCTCCCGCTGCGTCACACAGGGTTGTCGGCCAGCAGGCACACAGGGCGACATCAGAAACTGCCTTCTCCTTGTGGACTTCACTCTTTTCAGTCAGACTTCACAGACCAGCGGTTGGGTGCATAGAGGTCTGTCCCTCACCAAGCTGGCAGCCACTTCAGGCACCTGACCATGGCGCTGGCAGCCCAGGCTCTGCCCCACGACGCAGTCACCCCTGTCTTCCTGGGAAAGCATTCTTCAGGCTCCTCTACCTTTGGCAGTGGGCTTATTTTTGGAGCAGGAATGTGGGGCTAGTGCTTTTGGGAATTTCAGTCATTCCAGAGCTAACACTGGAAAAAACTCAATTTATTTTTTTTATTTTTAAAATTGCTGAGTTGCTAAGCCTCCTTTTGACCATGGAAGTGCACTCCCAGGGCCAGGCTAGGGCCCATCTGGAGTGCTGCAGAGAGTGAGCTTAATGGCCAGCAGGCAGGGGAAAGCTAGGAGAGCACTAAGGGGGTTTTGCTCTGGGCCTTCTCCAGGCCACAGATCTCATCTGTGGGGAGAAGGCCCTGCTCCAGGAGGTGTCTTGGAGAGTGCTGGGTGGGGAGAAGGCCCTGCTCCAGGAGGTGTCTTGGAGAGTGCTGGGTGGG